ATATGTAGGAGATAAAGTGTGAGGCACTGCTGATATTGTATCATATCATGACAATGATGTTGTCAATACCATTGTTTAATTGAACATCTCTGTGCGAGTTCTATTATCACACAGTGAGGGGCAGTGCAAACTCTGAAATTTATAAGTGAATGATTCATAGTGGAGTCACAGCATATATATACGAGGCAGAATTTGATTGGGTAAAAAAATTATGTTGACAAACAAGCTGCTCTCTTATTGGTCTGTCTATTAGGTGTTAGGTTTGGGTAGCCAATCATGTACAATCTTTTATATTGTGTATTTATTTCCAGGATAATGAATGTTGTTTGCATGAATGTATGTCAAGAAACTTGGTTGAATTCCTTTTGTGCTTTTGTATTTTGTCTCTGTTATTTTTCTGCTATGTTGTTACGTTATGTCGTGACTGGTAAGATTAGATTCACTCACACCTCGCATGCTGAATCCATGCGCAACTCAAAGTTTCAAGGCTTCTATAGTTTATCTATGTTATTATTTTCTTCCGATAGATATGAAATTTGGTTGGTGGCACATAGTGGAGCCGGAAACTATTAAAAACATTACAAGATGTCTGCATCCAAGAGGTATCAGGGAGCGAATACTGCAGAAGAATTTACTGAAGTACGCTGACTTTGCGTCCTCTGCTTGTACTGCGAAAGGTAGTGAATGTAAGTAGAGAAACAACTGGCGATTTATTCATGACATTCTGTTTAATCAGAGAACGATATTTGCATTTGACCTTGTGACCTGTTTTAATTACAATACACCTTTTCTATATGTTGCGCCCTCTAGCAATAAAATGTTTTTGTGATGTAAACAGGACACAAGCTTGATCTTATTTCAATTTGTGTGTTACCGGGTAGTCCTGTGCCTAATTGAAATACAAAATTCATTATGATCACCGTCTTCTAAACATGGTTGTCGCGTCTATGTTATTTTGTTTTAAATCACTGACAAAACATACTACAATATTTGTTTGACGATATGTACAATGCTATACTTACTGTAAGAGCTCCAATATAAGGATATTTTTAAAAAAAGAATTGGTCATATATGTGCACACAAGCCTGTTACAGAATTTTTAGTTTTATAATTCAAAAGATTAGTGAAACATACATGTATCTCACAGTTCAGATTTCTCTCCCATCTGATAGATTTCCAGCTTGATGATGAAGATGATGATGACGACGATGAGTCGGACAATGATGAGGATGAGGAATCTAAGAATACTAAACATGACCCTTTAATGCCAGACACCAAGGACTGGTCTTGTGAAGTAGCATTTGAAGTGACTAAGAGTGCATTAGAAGATGTGGAAGCATTAGAAGATAAGGTGTTCAGTTCCAGTATGCAAATCAAGGTAAAGGAGGACCTCTAGCAGGGTTAAGCAGTCGAGAAAATTCATCACTATCTAATAGGGCTAGCCAACCTGGAAAAATGCTATCCCAACTAAAATCTTACTGGTGCTGCTACTTATTCCAAGAGTAGTCTCTTTTTACCATCACTTTGAATTGAATATAGAAAACATTTTCCTACCTGTTCTCAAACAGTAAGTCATCAATGGAGATAATGGGACAGGATATATGTACCCTGCACAGAGATGTGTGCCTGCACTCCTGTGATAGTTGTAACTGACAAAAACGTTAGTGTACAATTAGGAACTTTATTACTCGATCAAACCAAACTATTTTCTTGATTTGTATGCAAGTTCACAT